CCCATCAAGGTCCTTTTCAGTGGCTCCTTGGTTTTGTATTGCTATTTGCTCCTCTTGGTTATGCTGGTGTAAGTGAGACTTTTAAAGACATCTCAGCTGAAAATAACTACTTTCAAAATAAAATAAGAATAACCTGACCTGAATAACTTCATTGATACAAGCTGTAACACATCAGCATAGTTGACAGGAGGGCACAATACAGAGCAGTGATTGGTTGGGAGAGATTAGCATCTTATGCTGAGTTGGCATGCTGAAGCCAGCCTGCTGTGAGAGGAAAGTTTCCTGCCTTGGCAAGAGAAAGAGGAAGATGCCTCTGAAGGCCTCCAGAGGGAGATACTACCCACCTAAGTTTAGGTACCTCAACTTTAAAGGAAATTCACAATAAAGTTTGTAATACAAGCAGTACTGCCATTGAATTTTGTAGCATCATTATCGTAAAAAAAAAAAACAAAACAAAGTGTCTAAAATTAAGTGAATCAATTTCCTGTGAAAAATTGGTATAAGTTACCAAGTCCTAAAAATTAAATATCTAATTCAACGGTATGATGCTGTATTTCACCGCTTCTCAAACTTAGATATTCCTATTTATAAACTCCAAATTCCATGTCCCTAAATGTATGCGAAACAGGGAATATGTTTTATTTTTTATCTGCGCAGCTCTGTGTCGATATCCAGATTGCTATTTAAGGAAATAAACTGTAAAGTAAGGCAAAACAGCTAAAAATAGGAACCACTAACTAATACACGCTCATCCAAATAGAACATGTGGAAAACATCCGTTGAGCATGCTGAAGATTAATTTTACATAAAAAAAAAAGAAGAAGTTAAATTGGGGATAAACACAGCCTTTTAACTGAGGAGGGGAGCGACGTCAGCCTGTTCGTCCTAAAACTAGAAAGGAAATCAGGAAAGGAAAAGGGAGGTTTGTGCAGCCCGCATGGTGAGCTTGATCTGGCTCAAAACTGATCTGAGAAAGTTTGGGAAAACAGAAAGAAGTGAGCAAATAAAGTGCATGATGTTCCACTGGCAGATTTTGTAAGCCCCGTTGGCTGTTTGTGTATAACTCTCCATAACTCCTGGTCTAATACTGAAAGTGAAGGTTGTCGGCCCTGCCTGTGCAGGAGGGTTGGAGCTGGATGATCCTTGAGGTCCCTTCCAACCTGAGCCATTCTATGATTCTATGAGGAACTCTCCTTTTCATGATGTCTTAGCACAAAGTGCGTAGCTCACGTAGTTGAATGACTGGAATTTGGGATATTGGCATGGGAGAGAACTTGAAGATTTCACGATGCCTGTACAACTGTATCATCAAAACAAATACTTTAATTCCTCTTCTTAAGCTTTTTTCACACTTTTTTTGGTCCTTTTATTTTTCAGGTCTACATATTTTCATCTACATATAGAATTTGTTTTTTTTTTTTGAGGGGGGCCTGCTCATGTGAAAGAGAAATTTTTGGGTTATTAAGTCTAGTTAGATATGGTCAGATCAGGAAATCATCTGTTTTGAAATGAGATTGTGGAACAGAGTAGGTGAAAGCGGGCAAATGGTGTTAAAAAAGGCAGGGGCTTGCTTAGTAAAAGTAAGAGGGAAGAGGGAAAGGCATGAGCTGACTTAGCACCGTTGGTTATTGCAGCTGAGCGAGTGCTGACAGAAACACGGTGCACCAGGAAGTTACAAACTATTATTTGGAGAGCATGAATTGTGTGAGAAGAGGAATAAAGTCCAATCTTTCTGCTTCATTTATTCCATGCACTGAGATCTCTACAAAGGCCTGGTTTAACTATTCTATCACTTGAGCAAGGATGAGGTTAAAATTTCCATCAGAATGATACAGTGTCTAGGCAATGGTACAGATTCCAATGTCTTGAATTTTGTTGTTAAGTAATATGTGATTTAATAAGCATGCCTCCTTATTTTGAGTTTCTTGACTGTATAAGCAATTTTCATCACTAGGTTTGGTTCGTTTTGTACAAGTACTGACAAGTCAGTTTTGGAAATACAAAGGATAACAATTTTTGCTGACAGCTTCAGTATCTGATTCTAACAGAAACCTATTTTTGAAGTTTTCCTTCTTCCATTTTCCATAATATAGTTCACATACTTTCAGTGCAACATTTGCAGTTTGTGTGTGACATAAAGCATATTATGTGACATAAAGCATACAGGGAAATGTATTTTGTAAATTGAGAAAAAAAGCCCTGCGGATTGGAAAACTGTTATACATTGGGTAGAAGGTGTTTGAGCACAGGAATGTTTTAATTCTAATTTTTTTTAAAATTATTTTTATTTATTTATTTATTTATTTATTTATTTCTTAAATTTGAAATCAGTACTAACCAGATTACCAAGAACTGTTTGATTATTCATGCAAAAGGGGAATACCTGCACAGCACCTTATATATCACAACTGTACGTTAAAATTTGCTTTGTGTCGTGGCATTTTCCAGTTTATCAGATCCTGATGGGCAGAACTCAAGTCTTTGATAGCACTGATCAATAATAAATAAATTACAAAAAACAGGAGAGAAACTACTTGGGATAGAAATGAGAGTGTTTACCGTTTGTAATAAATGAGCTAAGTGGATGGTAGCATGAAACAATAACTTGTAGGAAGTCAAGTCAGACACAGGGAGCTCCTGCTATTTGTTGTGATTACTCTGGTTTAATAATTGACTGTTTCCATGTTAATTCAGACAACAGATGTTAAGATGGGAGAAATAACCCATTGTTATGTTTTGCTGGTTCTCTTGCAGTTTTTTTGCTCGGCGTTTTTAAGTCCCAGTGCAGCCAAACTACAAGAAAGAGCACAATAACACTATTACATCAAATTCTCAGCTACAAAACACTTCTTCTACATAGTCACCACCATTAGCTATGGGTTTTTGCCAGTGATGAACAAAAGACTGCATGCTGTGCTTTTAAGAAAGTGCATGGCTCTCTAGAACTTGGCTTGTCTTCCAAGTCACTGTCACCACTACTGAAATGCACCACACACCACCTCGTTGTGCTCACATGCACTGTTTGATCTCCATAAATTTTTAGCAAGCATCAGTGAACGTCAGCGTGTGCCATGTTTTCCACATGGAGGAGTTCAGTGTCACACCTGTGCTTCATATGCATTTCCATGCCATCTGTCACACGGCGACAAAATGTAACAGGTTGTTGTGGGAAGGTTCAACCTCCACTGCTGTGCCACCATCATCCGCTTCTGACATCGTGGGCCAACTTAATAAAATAGGAGGTGTTATTTTTTGGAGCACTCCTTGTACAACAGGCTGTTGTCTGTCCATGATGAACAGTAGTTCACTGTTGAAAGCCCATGACAGGCAGAGTAAAAAACACAGTTTCAAAAGCCAGGTGATTTCAAAGGATAAGTTGGGTACTGTGATGCAGGGGGATCATCTGGGAGGTACATTTTCTTTGACCAAATTTGGTGAAAAATGCATGGCTGAGATTTTGAGTACACATATACACATATATATATGTGTATCCATGTCCATATATACAAAATATGTATACAAATCTACGTGTAGGCTGTCATGTGGCCTCCCCCCAGCCTCCTCTGCTCCGGGCTGAACAAATCAAAGGGCCTCAACCTCTCCTCATAAGTCTTACCTTTCAGACTTTCCTTTGTAGCCCTCGCTTGTGGCCCTTGTTTTGGACATACATGAATACACGTATAGCTATAAATGCTACATGGATGTATCTCATATGGGCATTTTTAGTGATTTTGGGTACATTTTCCTCTTCAGGGGTGCATACACAAGTTGGAATTTTCACTGTCTTTTTCCCATTCCTCCTTTTTCACCCCCAAAGTCTCTGAAGTGAATCAATATGCAGAGGAAACCCTGTTTTATTTCAAAGAGGAGAAAATTGTTTGGACATTAATGTTGGTTTTAAAGACCACGTGTTCACTGAAGGTTGTAAACAGCCATGTAATTGGTGGATGGGGCTGGCTGCTTTCTGTCAATACTCTGTTAGTCACTCCAGCTGCTAGCTGGCAGTATCTTCTGCATCATAGTTGTTTTCTAATTATCCATTTCCAGCATCTTCTCATTTAATTTAATTTGTCTTTTTGTGTGTGTGGTTAGGGCTGAGTTATTAGCAATATGGCTGTCCCCTAAGTTTCTTAGTTTTGCTTGGAGATGCATGTATTTTGGTCATTATTCTTCTACTTTCCCACCTCCCATTCTGTTTTTGTTTTATTTTATTTATCTGATTTGTGTGTAGGGATATATCTAGTTACTTATGATGGTGTGAGAGCATAGGGATAACTCTTCCCTTGAGTCTGGTAGGGAAAGTGTAAACAGAATCATGGGTTAAGTGGTGTTATTGTGAGAAGTGTGATGTTATCAATTCAACGTAAGGCTATATTAAAACCACTGAAGAGGTTCTGAGAGCAAATACCTGTTCTTAAACAGACTGCTGATAAATGCCTATACAAGATCCAGTGAAGGAGTCAGTGGAATAATCAGACTGTTAAGAGGATATTTCCTTTTCATATAGCTACTTGATTAGGTATCTCAAACCATTTAATGGCATATGATTTTAGAAACCTTTAATATAGTATATTTGACTGATTGTTAGTGCAGTGTTCCACATTAATCCATGCCACTTTGTTGTTACTCATAGTTTTGTGTTGTGCTTGCTTTCCATCTAAAATGCCTTTACCTCCAGCCCTCAATCCTTTCCAACACTGGTTGTGTGCAAAGTTAAAAAACATGCAAAATGTGATCTGACTGCTGCAATCATTTGCTTTGGGGATTTTTTTTTTTAGATTTAAAATTGCTGATAATTTCTGTTGTACATTTCCCATCATCTAATTTAATTGTGTTTTGCTCATAATTTACTGAACTGTTGCACTGATAATTCGCAGAGAGAAAAAAATAAAATCACTGTTTCATATGTGCATGTTAATGTTTGATTTTGGTGGTGCCGTGTTAGGAATTCTAAGGCTTTAGCAGTAGTCAGAGGTGGTTCACCTTGTTTTTGCAACTTATATCTGACCTGTATTTGATTTAAGTTTCTGCTGGAAAGCAAATGGAGTTATATAATTCTTTGTTTAGCTTGTTGGAACATCTTTATAAACTGAGACTGCAATTAAGGCATATTAGTCTTAAGTAAAAAAGAGTAGTATCTTTAATAATCATAAATTTTGAAATGATATATTGCCCTACGATTTATTTTTCAGTGTACTCCCTTATTTAAATTGAAATGTGTTGCTGGGATGTAACTTTAATTTCCTATATCTAGGAATTGAAGTGCTTCGTTATTGGGTGGTGACACTACCTGAGCCAGGCTTTAGGATACCTTAATACGAAAGTTCAGCCATCAGTCTGTTATTTCTGCTCCTTCATCACAGGGCATATTCCAAAGCCTGTAGAAAACAAACTGAAAACTGAACATTAACATCTCCCTTAACATTCTCTTTTGTATAGAAGGAAAACCAGCTCATCAAAAACAGTTCAACGTAAAATTTCTTCTTGTTATTAATTAGCAGATTACCTGAATTTACTATTAAAAAAATTGAAGAATTAAACCTAAACTGTTCGCTGTAAATTTCTTCATGTAAGAATTTTTGTCTGGTCTTTTATGCGACATTTATATCAGCACCAAATATTTCAACCTAACAAATGGTAGCATCTGCAGGAAAGCCACCCATGTAATATTAATGTGACTTTTCTTTTTTTTCCTCAGAAAAAGTACATTTCAATTGCTGAAATAATCCGTTTAAATGGGCTTATTCTTAAAAATTCATTGCTGCTCACTGACGGTCAGTGATCATTTTGCATGTTATTCTTCTGATACGTGCGCTTTTTCTAAATGTGAAATTGAATTTTGGGTAGAGGAGCTGTGTGTAGATATAGAGAGACAAAAAGATGCAAATAGAACGATAGAAGAGCTATTTTTAAAGCATTTCTTTAATGTTTCAGTGACTGACTTTGAGGAACAAACACATCATTTTTAGACATCCTGCTCAATGCAGCTCTTCCGAGTGAGCTGCACTGTGACCCTTTCTTGCATCTGCTCACTGCTTGTGCATCTGACTGTCTGCATACCTTCTCTGTACAGCACACAACCGTATTTCTAGGCTGTGAGGATGTGTGAAGGCTGATGTATTTCATAAACCTGCCTGAAGTGATTCGGAGCATGAGATTAAAGGCTGAGTGTCTCTGACTGGAGTAGCATTTGACTTTCTTGGCTTCGTTAGATGTATGACTGAGGATTTTACATTTTGAAAAGAGTTTAAAATTGTGCTGCTTTAAATAGTCGATCCATCAGCTTACTTGTTCTGCCCGTGTCATATTTCTAGTGAAGAAAAAGCACAAGCCACTGAGATCATCAGAGGGCTGGAGCACCTCCCCTCTGAAGAAATGTTGAGGGAATTGGGCTTGTGTAGCTTGGAGAAGAGAGGGCTCCAGGGAGACCTCATTGTGGCCTTCCAGTACTTGAAGGGAGCATAGAAACAGAGAGAGAATGGCTGTTTACAAGGGTGGATAGTGATAGGACAAGGGGGAATGGTTTTAAATTGAGACAGGAGAGGTTCAGGTTAGATATCAGGAGGAAGTTTTTCACACAGAGGGTGGTGAAGCACTGGAACAGGTTGTCCAAGGAGGTTGTGGATGCCCCATCCCTGGAGGCATTCAAGGCCAGGCTGGATGTGGCTCTGGGCAGCCTGGTCTGCTGGTTGGCAACCCTGCACATAGCAGGGGGTTTGAAACCAGATGATCATTGTGATCCTTTTCAAACCCAGGCCATTCTGTGATTCCATGAGAATGTAGATCTGTTTTTGTTGCTGCTGATTGAGTTGATCTGAGATTTCCAGCTCTTCAGAGTTAATCGATGTTGACATTTTTATATATGCTAGATAAATGTTAACAATGCTTTTTTCCTTAAATATAATTCAGAATTAATTGATTTAAGCACTGAAGCACAGGAAAAGCAACTTATAGATGTTGTTGGCCATCTGCTTAGACCTTTCTGCTGAGATATATTTGAGTACTTTTTCAGCAGCTTGAGTCCCAATCTTAAAGCACTTTAAAGAAGCAGAATGTGAGAAATTAAGTGATTTGAGCCTGCTGTTCCTTATTTAGACTGTGGAGTACACTCCTTATTCTTGTCCATAGGGAGAAACCAGCTGGGAAAGTTAGAAGCAAAGGAGAAATGGCTATATTAATATATTAATGTACATATGCAAAAATCCCAGGAGTATGAAAAATAATTATGAAAAATGATAGTAGGTAGTAATAGATGTAGCCTAGGTTTGTATTCAGTCCCTTCTTCAGTGTATCTCATCTCTGCACGAATGCAGCCAAGCCTCCTGCAGTTTGCATGCAGGCAGAATTCTGTAAAAACAAAGCACCTGCTTGGTTTTTGCTGTCAGGGTTGACTTTAATCTGCTTTGATCAAAGTTAAGTCCTAAGTTTGCCTGTAACCAAAACTATGGATTGAAATGTTACATTTATAATTAGCTTTTGCGTTCATAAGTGGATTTATTTCTTTTTCTTTTCCCAACTAAGATAGTGTTTTGCATGCAGAAAATTAACCTGGAATTTGCTTAAAAGTGAGCCTGCACTAGTGGAAAATATATTTTGGAGAGGTAACATTCATCTTACCTAATAATGAGCTGGTCTTTTGTACTTTAAAATGGAGAGAAGCAGACACCTGTAGTGTGATGTCTAGCCTACTTGAAGATCATAGAATCATAGAATCAATCATTCAGGTTGGAAAAGGTCTTAAAGATCATCGAGTCCAACCACAATGATAAAGACCACGAAGATAAAGTACACTGACTGGTAAAAAGAGCCTTTTCTCCACTGTCTGCACAGGTGGGCAAGGAACTGGTGAGATGAATCCCCCAGTGGTGCCTGCTACCTGCGTCAGCCTATAAGGATAACAGAACGTTGTTAGAAAAGATGCTTTCCTCATAGAAGATTTTTACTGTATTATAAAGTTGAGCTTGTAGTGTAATTGCAGATAGGACTCTGAATTATGAAGGAAGCAGCCTAATGACTCACAAAACGAAACTCATTAGAGGAAAAAGTCTTCTAGCCTACAAACAATAGGGAGAAACCTAATGAAGTGATGACAGAAAATGAAATAACATTTTCCAACTTCATCTTGTTTGTAGAGTTCATTCCAGAAGAGGATCCAGCTGTACTCTTCCATGTGTTTACCAAGCCTGTGCTGAAAGCACAGTTCAACTTTAGGCACTTTTTTTTTGTGTGTGTGTGTTATACTGGAGAAAGATTCCACACTTTTCCCATGATTAAATCATTCTGGGTTTGAAAGCCTGGAGGTGGTTTACTCTTGCACTGCATTCAGCTGTGCTGGGACAGGTTTATAAGGAGGACAATGAACATCCAAGTTCCCTGTTTTGGCCTTGTTAGCACATACAGGTGATCAGCTGTGTATCAGTGCTGAATCTCCACACTGTATCTGCATCCAGATGTGTCACATGTGCACTTTCTATTACATCCCAGGTTGCTTTTTAGTGACATGTAAGAGCTTAATTGCTGTCTTCAGAGGCATTAGTGGGCCAAGACATAGCTGTATCACAGACTGCCTTCTGTCCTTAGAAAAATAATTTCATTCCTGCAGCTGATGGGATACTGGGGAAAAGTGTTTGAATTTCAAGCAGGTCTTTCTAGGCTTATGATGTGCATGTTGTCCTAGTTCAAAGAGAAGACGGATGCACATTCCTTGTTGAGTCATTAACAGTACAGCACTGGATGTTTTAGGGCAATCTAACGGCGTATTGATGTTTCAGAGCAATTAATCTGCTGCAATTAAGACCCAAATCAAACCTGTTGAATGCATTTAAACAATGAATGTTTTGAAGAAATACGCCTCTGTGTGGACATTTTATGAATGCTAAATGATTTGGCAAGATCAGTGAAAACAAAATCAGTCACACAGCTTCGAAAAAATTACTCATGATCCTGTACAGCCTGTATTTTAGACTTTCCAAACACTCTGGATGTCATTCTGTGGAAGAAGGAGGGCTGCTTTTTGACTGAGTTTAATATTTTGAGTGCTGGAAGGAGGGGAGCCAGCTCTTTGAAAGAGTAGATAATAGCAAGACAAGGGGAAATGCTTTTAAGTTGAAGGAGGGAAGATTTAGGTAGGATGTCAGGAGGAAATTCTTTACTATGAGAGTGGTGAGGTGCTGGAACAGGCTGCCCAGAGAGGTTGTGGATGCCCCGTCCCTGGAGGTGTTCAAGGCCAGGATGGATGGGGCCCTGGGCAGCCTGGTCTAGTATTAAATGTGGAGGTTGGTGGCCCTGCATGTGTCAGGATGGTTGGAGATTTATGATCCTTGAGTTCCCTTCCAACCCTGGCCATTCTGTGATTCTGTGATAGAACAAGATTTCATTGTTGCAAGTTAGATTATTTGTGGACATTTTACCCCTATGGCTGTTTAAAGCTGCATTGTAGGATGTTTTCTGTAGAAACTACAGTAAAGATTTCTGTGTATAGCTTACTTTATAGTTCAGTACTTAAGATCAAAATTGGGGTGGTTTTCTGTAACAGGGGCTGTGCTTTTGGTAGCTACCGAGTCAGAGCTTTTCTCTCTTCTCTCCAGCTTCTCGCTGGATCCCTCTGGTTTCCATTCTATATACTTGGAAAAAAAGAATCTATGAAAGGAGTGATACAGCCTTGGGCCAACATTATTTTGATTGCACATAGATGTTAGACCAGGAAGTGTGTGGGACTGAAAAGGAAGAAATGAGGTCAACACTACACAGATGCAGAATTATCATCTCACTGAGGTAAATTTGAGATTTGCACATTTGTCTGGCCTTTGGCTACTGCTGCTGTCTGATGAACTACACTTCTAATTATTTTTCAAGGACACCAGTATTCTGCAGTTGACGTCCTTTTATTTCAGGTTAGGTTGTCTCATACTTTTCATTATAAAAGCTTTATGTACTTTGTTATTTTTAAGAAGAGTGTTCTATTAACTCTGTTGTTTATTGTAGGTCTTTGGAATTCAGCAGAGATAACCACAAAGCCAGAAAAGTACTTTTTCTTTGTTGCCTGAAATCCTATAGTGTTATTTTAGCTCAGTTACAAAAGACTGAAAACAGATTCTTTTTTCTCTTGTTGCTTTTGTTGCCTGCAGAATTTTGGCAGCTTGTCAAAATAATGCCTGAGCACAAATATTCTTATCAAAATCTAGTCCCACACTGCTGTCAGCAGCACATGGTACACTACAGGGAGGGAGAGAGGGAGGGAATGGTAACACTGGAAAGAAGAAACTGCAAGAGGAATAGGTATACAATAAGAAATGTAGGAATACAATAAGAAATGGCTAACAGAATATGTGCAGTGCTCAAGATGCTCAGCAAGTGTGAGAGCTAGCTTTTGGGACTGAAGTCTGTAGGTCCCGTAACACCTGATAGATCATCACATGGATTAAATGGTCAAACTGGATGATCTCAGTGGTCTTTTCCAACTTTAATGATTCTGTGGTTGTGTGGTTTTACGAGTGTGGGGAATGAAGCTGGAGATAACAAGGAAGGTAGGCTGTTCTTGAAAGAGAACTGACATACAACTGACTCTGTATGTAAGTCTTACTTCCTCCTTGACTTTAAAGGATGACTTACGGTTATTTTGGGATGGATGGCATCTAAAACTGCAAATCATCTGGTTTTAGATGCTGTAATGGAAGAACTGGGTTCTTACCACTTCTCCTGAGGTCTGTGGAAACATTAAATGCTAAATACATCTTTGATCAACAGAAATGAGCAGTCTGAAGTGACTGGAGACAAGTTTTGAAGTTCTGCCCTCAGCTTTATCAGTGATTTACTCTCTGTAATTATAAAAGGAGAAGAGTAGCATATTCTTGATCCATAGGGCAGATAAGAAGATAACCTACACTGATTGAATAGCATGATGGTGAGAAGTGTCTTACTGAAATTAACAACTCTGTATCCAATATAAAGACTGGGTAGCATTGCATCTCCAGATGATGAGGACAAAATACAACATTTTCTTCCTTTTTTGAACATCTTGGATGTTGCTCAGTGACTTGAGTGAGGCTCCAGTGGGAAGAAATAGCATGTCACTTTGTAATTACAGGACTGTAAATGTATACATATGTTCTTCACATATCTAAATGACGACGGCTGAGCCAAATTAATCTGAATTTAGTCAGCTTCTCAGTGTTCATCTTTGTCATGTAAAAAGGTTTTAATAAGCGTAATGTGATCATACTTTTGAAATAAAGATAGAGCCTGTATAAATACCTGTTTCTTTGTTTCTCTTCTTTCCAGTGACTGTAAAATGCTTCTGTGGCTCCAAATAGTAACATTTGAGTTGATAATGATGATTGTATAATTAGGGTTTTTAATTTCCTGTATGAAAAATGGGAGTGGTTTTTATTTTGCTTGTTGCTGTTTTATGTAAATAGCAAATGAAGTATAATTAGATGTCTCTGATGGCCTGTCTTATTCCAGGCAGTATTGGTTTTGTATAAATTGGTTTTATATAAACCAAACAAAGGTTTGGTTTTGTATAAATTCTAGATAGAAGTGGAAATTTTGCAGGTTGCAAAGGGATCTTATGAGACTTTCTCTCAGGCTTCTTTAGACTAAAACTGTTTACCAAGAAATTCTAATAATAATTTTAGTAGGAAAAAAAATCTATTTATAGCTCAGCTCTCTGTTTGTACTCCTGTGGTTTTTGTTGTTATGTTCCTAGAGTGCTGTAGGAACAAAAGAAAGTACATTTACTAAAGTATTCCTTATACAAGCTTATTAATGTGCTACATACAATATGGGGAATGTTCTTGTTTTGAGAACTTGACATTACCTGTTCTGAAGCAAGAATGCAGTAGAAAAAAAAAGCACTATCTGTTGCTAGCTTCCAGACACAAATTCATGGCTTAGCTACTCTTATTTTTGTTGAGAATGTGACTAGCATCATAAGTTTAATATTAGTATTTAGTATTACAATAGTTAGATTAGCGTTATTTATTAATTAATATTGGTATTTAATATCAGAATACACATTATCCGAGCAGCTAGGAATCAAGCTAGGAAAGCTGAAGCCCTGATAGAATTTAATCTGGATAAGGACAATGAGAGGGACTTCTACAGGTACCTCAGTGACAAAAGGAAGTCTGGGGAAAATGATGGGCTCTCCATATGGAGAAAGAAGACCAGGTTATGTGGGACAGCGAAAAGGACAAGGTCTCTGCCAGCAAAACTGCCCTTCAGAAATCCCAGGTCCCAGAGGCCAGGCTGAAAGTCTGGAACAAGGAAGAAATACCTTTTGGTGGAAGAGGACCAAGTCAGGGAATACTGGAGCAAAGTGGACATTCTCAATCCATGGACTGTGATGGGATGCAATCATGATAATGCTGAGGGAGGTGCCTACAGACTAGGGGAAAGCAAATGTTGCTTCTATCTTCAATAAGTGAAAGAAAGGGGACTAGAGGAACTACAGGCCAGTCAGCCTCTTCTCAGTCTCTGGGAAGATGATGGAGCAGCTAATTCTAGAAACGATATCGAGGCATATTAAGGAGAAGAAAACCATCAGGAGCAGTCAGCATGAATTTGTCATGGGAAAGTCATTCCTGACCTAACCCAGTAATCATCTGTAATAAAATTCCCAGCCTGGATGAGTGAAGAGCAGTGAATATTATCTTCCTGGACTTCAGTAAGATTTCTGACACTATCCTCCATAAGATCTTCATAGAGAAGCTGTTGAAATACGGGTTGGATGAGGAGGCAGTGAGGCTGATGAAAACTGTCTGAATGGCTGGACCCAGGGGTCAGTGTTTCAGCATCGGATTGGAGGCCACTAAAGAGTGGAGTATAATTGGATCTAGTCTTGTTTAATGTCTTCATTAACGATGGAGTGCACCCTCAGGAGATTCATGGATGACATGAAAATGGGGGGAGTGAGTGACTCACCAAAGGGTTGCGCTGCCATCTCTTTTTCTCAATACTCAGTTCAATCTTAGAAAATAAGTCTTACCCTGGACAAGATAAAATAATTATATGGAAGAGATGTTAAAATAATGCTCCAGTTTCAGTTAGTATCTGCTCTTACAGTGAAATCTCCATGTGCGGGATGTTGCACTGTAAAGGAGCATTCCCCCAGTGTGTGAAGCTGTATATGGATGTCCAAACCCATTTGGCTGTTCAATCACCATTTATTGTTTGATGAGACCAAATTTATATATCAACGATTTGGTAACTTGTTGTACAAGAAGAATGCTCCTAAAGCCTGAAGATGCCATGGCAAAAGGATATTTTCCTTAGGTCTCTTGAATTCCCTGGTGATTTTTATTTTATAAAAGAAGTAGTGTTAAAAGGATAAATGAATTTTGATCTGTTTTAAAATCTGATTTGATTCTTTAGATATGCCCTTATCTATGGCACCTTAAATGAACATTTGAAGAGTTAATCACTGTAAGAAGTGAGACAGCATTTAATGTCTTTGCCCTTAGTGGTTTTCTTCTAATGCTTTTCCATCTGTGCAGCCTCCAGACTCTTGATTTTCTTGACGGAGTTAGAACTTTCTTTCAGTGGACGTTTGGGCACTGAAGGACAGTTGGCAAACTACGGAGTGTAAAAGTGATAAAGAATTTAAAAAAAAAAAAAAAAAGAAGAAATATAAGTTTTGAATCTTTCAGTTTGGTAGCCAAAAGAGCAGCTGGTTCTTTGAGATGGAACTTTTGATGACATGAACACAGAGCCAGAGAAAATGAACTACGTTAATATGTCGTGGGTAACACTGGTGTCCTTTTATTCAGTAATATTACATGTTTTCATTCTTTCCTTAACAACCTGAATCCTTGTGTAGTCTATATCAGAAAATTAAACTAACTGTAGCCCTTGTTCAAATCACTAAACTCTTAAAAAAAAAAAAAAAAAAAAAGTAAAGAGAGAATTTATTTCCAATTAGATCTAGAAGGTCTGTTCCAGAATTGAAAGGATAATTTGTTTTAAAATCAGTTGTATTATAGCTTTGGTTATCAGCTGTAAATAAGAGAAGGTATTGAAGAAAACAGCATAAATCACAGACAATTCATCACATTTTGTTGGTGTAACACAGTGTCTCTGCATTTTAACAATCAGCTGTTCATAGCAGGGGAACAAGATCATGTCATCTCTTCAGTTCCTTCTTTTAATGCTTAGTATCCTTAAATTTGCTTGCAAACTACAGGACCAGCTTGTATTTTATGCCAATATGTAGAACGATAGCCTATATTCTATTTTGCTTACTATTATTCTATTTGTGTACTTATGCTTACTATTAACTGCAATGTTTAATTGTAAAATCTATTCAAATGTATGTTCATACTTGCTATTATGAGTGCATCTCTTTCCTGTATGGCCTTGAAGCTCATGAAGTTTGAAAGTAACCCACCTTACCTTTTCAAATGTTTTGTTTCTATATTTGTTTTCCACAAATGAAGCTGCCCGAGGCACTTTCACAACCACCCAAGACTGACTTCTTACCTTTCCTTGAGAATGTCAGCGATTGTCAAAATTCTTGTGAATGTAAAGGTATAGAAAATGTTTTTGCTATATCCACAAGTTTATCATCATATGAGGAAATTAATTTGATTTCACATATTTTTCATCATTTTCCTAAGAAAATAATTCAGCAATTATTTTTTAGTTCTTCTATTCTCCTTTTTTTATAGAAAAGGACAGCATTTTTCCTTTTGGTCTTCTTGAGCAGTACTTCCCCAGCTTCGTAACTTCTCAAAGGTTATTGCTGATGTTCTGACATCACTTCTGTCAGATGTGAGCTACAAGCACTGAGAATTTATGTATTTTGCCATTTCTGGGAAGGTGTGAGAAGGAGGTTAGAGTCTCTGCTTGTGCAACTGCTGCTTGACAGCATTCATTCTCCCTCCTTACCCTTCTCCAGCAAAGAAATCTCAGTCTCCTGGAAGCAAAATAAGACCTACAGATTTTTTTTCCTTCATTACACTATATTCATCATGTATTAATTTTGTTTTAATAACTTGCTGCAAGTGTAAAAAATGATAGAGTGGAAAAGCTTTCCATTTGTAGCAGTCTGTTAGAATCAGATTAAATGATGAGACGATTGTTGTTTAATGGGCAAACAATTTCAGGAATAAATGTAATGTTGCAGAAAATAACCTCTTCAGTGTCCTTTGGTTATCTTAAGGTTATAAGCTCGTTTGCCTATGTCTCTCTAGTCTGGAAATCAGTGTCAGCAGAGCTAGCAAGTATGGGCTATAATTACTGGTTTGTGGCAGGATGTTCAGTGTGAAAATAACAGGGTGTCACTGAAGAGGTTAGGTTAACTGTTAGAGCTGACAAGATATAATTGCTTATGAGCCACTTTCTTTAACAATGAAAATTGCATTACTTAAGGGTGTTTCTTTTTAGCATAGTATCTGCGTCTGGCTGTAGAACTGGTTTTAATTAGAGGTTGAGATAGCTGAGAAATAAGTGCTCACTTATTTTTAGCTAGGATAAATATCACTAAAATAGATTGTCCTCAGAAGTGCATAAAAAAAGGGTAACGACAAGCAAATATTTGAAAATGGAGATAGTGGTAGCTTAATTGAGTTTGGAACAAATGACTTCAATATACATGGAATGCCTCTCTTGTAATTGATTTTGTGTTGATAATGCTGAACTCTGAAATTATCACACTTTTTTTACGTAAAGTTCTCGATTATGTCATTGTGTAGACTCCAAATAGAGCTTTGAAATTGTCTGGCTCTGAGTAGCAAGAAAGAGTTGTTGGTAGTGTAAATCTGACACACATTTCCACAGTTCGCTTGCTAGATTTGGGTCTGGGGAGGAAAGATTTATGTATCATGATTACTGTAGGATGCCGACAATGTTCTGACATTTTGAAGTTGTGATAAATTATGTATACCAAGAGGCCCAAGCTAATTTCAGATATTGCTCTGGACTAGACTTCGATCAGACAAGATTGGGCGTTACCAGGGTGGAACGGCCGTAGGCCAGGAGAAGCCTGGAAAATAGAAAGCTCTGTCCCTGGACGTGTTCAAGGCCAGGTTGGATGGGGCTCTGGTCTAGTATTAAATATGGAAGTTGGCAGACCTGCCTGCAGCAGGAAGGTTGGAGCTTGAGGTCCTGGAAGTCCCTTCCAACCCAAGCCATTTTGTGATTCTATGATTCCATTCTATAGACTTTAGAAATAACTAATGCCTGTTTCCTCCTTGATTACTACTTTTTCTCTCTGTGGGACAATACTCAATTTGCTCTGACTCAGAAGGGCTTGAGTTGTTCAGGGAGAGTAGCCACTCTTACAGCTCCCCATGGGCATCCAGCATGTTGTGTTTTTGTATTTGTATGAATATTCTGATCAAAGCTTCAACACATCAAACAAATCCATAATCCATAAGGCTTTTCTCCTTTGAATGTCTAGTTTGCTTCTTGTGTTCTTCTGGTGAGTAGCTGACCAAGTCGATGTGGGTGGGTGGAATTTCAGAGCTACTGTATTGGAGAGGTTTGTGCTGCTCAAGGAGTGCTATTCTTTCCTAGTCAGAAAGTGGAGTATTACAGAGGCAGTTTGACTGGCAGGTAATAGAAGCTGAGCTTTCCACTTATACTGGCACCATTGGCATGTCTTTTCCTTGAATCTCAATATGAAACTCCTTTAATGATCGAATCTGTTTTTGTAGTGACAAAGAAAATTCTGTTTCTGCGGTATTTTTGGATGGGTGCATGGGTGAAAGAAAGCTGCAGCAGCTATTGTCTGGGTTGTTACAGAATTAGAATGGAATGTGCATTTGGTAAAACAAAAGGTGTATTTAAGTATCTGATGGCCATGCTCTGAGGAGAGGGAAAATGTTGGTCCTCTCTGGATGTCTTCTGGGTTTTTGTTGCCGTTTGTTTTGTTTGGTAAGACTCTTCTGAGAACAAGGAATCCAAGCCTGTGGATATGGGGAGAGGTGGGTAACCTGACGAGCTGTTTCATGAACGTTTTAAACTGCTGGAGGGACTCGTTCTAAGGATTGTTTGTCAGGAAACATCTTGCTTTGCTTGTGTGAAGCCTTACTAGCAGTGCTGCCTGTGCTGGTCTGCATTGTGCAAAGCTGGAATGTTTGCCTGAAATTCTACTCAATATATTTTGAGGGTTGTGCAGAAAGTAATGCCTCCTCTTTTATTATGTTGGCCCATGACATCAGAGATGGATGTTAGTTGTATGGCTGTAGAAGCTGAACCTTCCTACCAATATTCCATTCCTGTGTCAAAATACAGTCACTTCTAGAATTGATACACTGACGAATCTAAAACATCAGATACTTCCTAGTAAAAAAAAAAAGAATACATTCAGATCTCTGTTTCTGAGCTTGAGTTATTTTACTTCTTGAAGTGAAGACAGCTATAACTTAAGACATTAAGTAGTACTGGAAATATCTCTAAGTTGATACTTGATGCATTGATCTGAATAAAAAATCAGGTTTGATATTCTGTCTGTTTTTGATTTCTGACTAGATTTTAACAACTTTGCATATTTAATCTGAACGCTCTCAAAACATTCTTCCTAGGATTCCTGCAGCTAAAATCATCCTCTTCGTCTAAACACTTTAGATAAAAATTGTCTGCTTTGTGTAAAGGTTTTTAAACACGCAGAGAGAAAAGTTTTATATTTAGAAATAAGCTGTGTATTCTGTGTCCCCAGTTAGAGTCAAACTTTCTTCCTTGTGTAAAGGTAGGCAATGCTTCCAAATAGGCTTCTGAAGTAAATTAAGAAGCTTTTACAGTTTATGCAGGGACTGGACTGACTGTGGATGCTTCTGGAAAATACAGTTACAAAGCCACTGCCTCAGAAGATGTAGAAGGGCTGCTCTGAAAGTAATGCCTCCTATTTTATTATGTTGACCCATGACATCATTAATGCATCTTGATGGTATGGCAGTAGAAGTTGAACTTTCCTGCCAATATTCTATTAAATTCTGTTGCCATGTAACAGAAAGGCAGACTGACAGAATGACATGTGATATGGAAGTGCGTATGAAGCAGAGACGTGTCACTGAATTCCTCCATGCAGAAGAAATTGGCACCCAAGACATTCACTGACTCTTGCTGAATGTTTGTGGAGACCAAACAGTGAATGTGAGCACAGTGAGATGGTGGGTGGTGTGTTTGAGCAGTGGCAACAGCAATGTGAAAGTCAAGCCATGTTCTGGATAGTCATGCACAACTGTCACACCACGAAATGAAGAGTATCTCTATCAGCTCATTTGTACAGATTGGCAGATTACAACCAGGGAACTGTGTACAGAGCTTAATATCATCTTCACTGCAATGGAAGTGGTGGTGGCAGTTGTGGAATACTGCAAAGTTTACACCAGGTAAGTCCCATGAGTGCTCATAGAGGAACAGAAAGACCACTGTATGCAAGTTTATCAGGACCTATTGAACCAAGGCAAGGCTGAAGGTGACAGCTTCCTGAATTGCATCATTATTGTGACAAGATGTGGTGTCACCACTAAGAGCCAGAGTCAACCATGGAGTGACAGTATATGAATGCCTCATCAAAGAACAAGTTCAAGATGCAGCCTGCAGTGGGTAAAATGATGTGCACTGTCTTTTGGGAGTAGGAAATGGGTGATCCTTCTGGATTTTCGGGAACCTGTACAAACCATTAACTCTGACCAGTACATCATGTCTATGACTGAGCTGAAGGCTCGAACTTTCAGAGTGAGGCCAGAGAAGAAGACAACCTTGCTCTTGCAACAGAGTGATGCCAGGCCCCGTAGCAATTTGAAGACCGGGGAGCATAGTGCCAATCTTGGCAGGACTCTGCTACTACACCCACTGTATAGTCCAGATTTGGCACCTTCTGACTTCCATCTGTTCCGAGGAAAGGTGGACTGCATGGACAACGTTTTCTTAGCAGTGATGCCATCATAGCAGCTGTGAAACAGTGGATCACTGGTGCTGGTACAGATTTTTATGAGCACAGCATGCAGGCTCTTGTTCATCACTGGCAAAGATGGCTAGCTATTGTGGTGACTGTGTTGAAAAAACAGTGTTTTGTAGTTGAGAATTTGCTCTATAAAATAGCGTAATTGTGTTGTTTGTATCTGTGTAGTTTCCATGAAAATAAATAGGAGGCATTACTTCTGGAAGGACCTACGAATATTAAAAACACCTAATAGGACAAACTACTATTTAACACTGCTTTAATTCAGTGTAAAATTAATCACGCTGTACAGTCTTTTCACTTCTCTGGAAATCCTGTATGAATGGTTTATAGAATAATAGAAGGCTCACTTCTGAATCTTCGACAGACTGCAGTATAATATCACATTGCATGAGGATTACTTGAAACATCAGTCAGTAATG